AGCTGCACTTAGCTTGGTTGTCCTGTAAACACACACAGAAACACACATGCCCGTGTGCCTTTACTTTCTCCCGCATCTCACACAATTCCTTGCAATGACGCTGCAATGTTGATTTTAAATGAGTATCTATTAAAATTCCATTATACAGAAATATGGAGTGATGTTGTCCCTGGCAGGAGTTTATTGAAAAGTAAATGTAAACATCCACAAATGGAACACCTCATTAACCCAGTGGCTATTTACAGCCCTGCAGCACAGAGGCACAGGCAGGGATTGAGGCCTTGCTCATCTTAATAGTGTCTCAGCGGATAAGACTAAAACTATGCTCTTATTCATACCTGCACTTTTAATGGGACTTACTTTACCTAATGGCCCATAGCGGTCCCTGCAGGGCGAATGCCTGTTGCTCAAAACCCCACAGACACAACATAAACAGCCATACAACAACACTTACAATTCTGAATTCTGATTGGTTGGAAGTTGTCGCCTAAATTTTAGAAACTGGATACCAGTGACTTACCTTAGGCCTTTATTGTTCCAAATTAAAGTGCCAGCATTAAATTGTAAGTGAAGACAGCAACAGCAGAGTCTCAGCTAAAGAGCTTAGGGTTATTGGCCTCAGTGGAATCCACTGGGCATTATCACTACAGTATATCCCAATACATATGTTTGATATGCATATGCACAATAATTAAAGGGAGCTATTACTCCAGTTCGCCTGCCTTTGCCATTTATCTATCTAGAACCTATTACACCTGCTTTGTGGATGTGCACACGACTACTCTAACTTACAGACTTCGGCCAGTAACACAACTGTGCAGCAGTCATTTACTGGCATATCAGAGTTTGAAACTGAGTGTACATTGACATGATAAATGTGAGGGTGAATGTTTTGTGACAGGGAGAGTAAAATATTTCTGTGTTCCCCAAGTTGCTGAGCAAACAGCATAGAAAATGTGCCACTTTACTTTCAAAGACTGCCTGTTCTGTACATGGATATGACTAATGTGAACTTCAGATTAGCAGCAGTCGAACAGGAGTTCAGCAGTTATTTGTAATCATGTGTTCAGTTTTGCAGATATATTAAAATATTTTGTTTGGGAAACCATTATTTTGTGTTGAGACCTATGTAGTTTTGTTAGTTCTCATCAATATCTGCCACCTCTCCAACATAGAATCAAAGGAAAATGGTTCTAAGTGAATGAGAATTTCCACCCAGATAAAGTGAATTCTAGTCACACTTTCACTGTACAATTAATCATTAAGCATGCTACATTTCTCAAAATATGCATTATGAACTGATGGGATGTGATGAAGTCACTCCACTTAACTGCATATTTTGTGACTTTGATGGTGGAATAAGAACATAGCAGAATACCAGCTGTCACACAAGGATCAAGTATTAAAACTTATGCCTTATAGCCTTTCTGGAGACATTTCAGCTCTTTCGTTTAGACTGAACCCACCTTTCTGAAAGATGGATGGCAGTGTTACCACCTGCTCTGAAATTGTGAAGCATTCTTTCTACTTCACAAGTCTCACTGAGGTTCTTTTCCAAGCAACTGGAAAAAACATTATTGAATATAAAGCACCTGGGACTGGCTCCTCACCCTGCCAAGATTAATTTTAGGTCAGAAGCTGTGAAAAGAAGCAAAAACCTCTCTGAAATGAAACTGTGAAATATCACCCACTCCCCACAATACATACAAAACTAGAGGTTCCTGCAGATAATTCTCATAGAATGCTTGAAACTTTTACTGAACTGACAAAAATTTGCCTGTAAATTAGTTTTGCGTGTTATGTTTTCATGGTCAACTACGCCCCCGGATACTGTGTAAACAAAAACACTTCAGCAAAATGTTATGTGGCCCCGAGCCTTCAAAATAATGCTATAGGGCAAATTAAATTACCATCTGTCACGTTGGCAGTCCACCGAACATGGGAGAGCCACAAGCATTAGCAGAAGTGTCCTATACTCCTCAGCATGTTTATGATTTAAGATCATTATATCAAGACTGGTTTGAACCCAGCCTGAATCTTGAGCTGTAGTTTGGCCTGCAGCTTTAAGACACATTAGCTCTGCACTGAAACAGCTGTAGGGAACTCTCAAAATGTTACTTCTACTGTGTAATGTTATTGTGGAAATTGCATTTAACAATAAAGTCATAATTTTGACAGAAGGGAGGTCTAGGAGGTTAATCGCTGCATAAAATTGAACAGGGTGAAGCAACTGCAAAGTATCAGAGTTTAGCAGAGCTAACATATCTGCTAGAACTTTAGCACTTGTGCAGATGCTCAAATAAATCAGTAGAACTTCAGTCTGAGATGAAAGAAAATAATGATAGATGAGCAGAAATTTAATTTAGTATTGCATTTTTATTATCTAATCTGTTATTAATCAATCAGTTTATTGCTGTATGATTCTATGTGGGAGGAACCCGGAGTGCCTGGAATACATCCACAACACCACATTAGCAGGTTGAAACCCCACTGAGGTGCTCCACAGTTTTTTCTTTAGATGAACTACTTTCCAAAGGGCCCAGCGATGACATTGTGCACACTGGAAAAGAACTTGCCTTTCTTTGGTGGGTTAGGCCTCATTAGATGATTTTTGAAAGTGGAGGACATGGAATCTTCAAGTGGTGTTTCATTTACATACAGTTCAGCCAGCCCCAGCTCTCCACTGCTGAATAATGTCCTTGTGCACATTCTCGCTGAGGCATTTCAATGTTTTTGCATTAAAGTCAAAATTTTCATACTCCAGGAGAGACAGCACCTGTTTTATCAAACAGAGATTATTTGGGTATCTGCCATGGTCTTGACTTTTGATTTCCTGAGAATCCCATTAACCAGCTGACTGACAGATAGTTTCATGGATTCTTTTATTTGCATATTTTCCTCTTCTTCAAGGGAACATGTGAAGGTGAATTTCCTGCTTGCTGTCTTGTTCATACTAGCCATTTTAACAGTCACCTCAGCAATATCATCTGAGATGATGTCAACCTGGAGGGAGCAGTCCAAGTCCAAGCTGCTCTGCTCTGTTCTCCACAAGTTGATCTCCCTGGCTTTCAGTGACTAAAGGTGTTACAGTACTCTTGACTGGGAATTAGAAATGCCATCCACCTGCCATTTATCAGTACAGAAGTAATTTGAACTTTTACAAATTATTCAAGACATAATTATTTCCCTGGTAGACCTTATAAACAGTACAGTTTCACATTTAGAGTACTCAGTGTGATACTACTGATATAGCCTACTGGTGTTTTATTATTAACAGAAATCATTCAAAAAAGCTAGCTTTTCTTAAGCAAGTAACTTTTACTGGAGAGATTAATCCTGTGCAACAAGGTCTTTAAAGAACTATCCAAACATTCTGAAACTAAAACATATTGTACAGAGACAGTAGTATGGTATTGTAGAGACATACCATTACAGTACACACAGAGAACTATGATATTCTGTACACATTTAGAGTGACACACACCCTCTGTATGCCAATTAAAGCCAACAATTTCACCTGTAAATTTGCATTTGGCAGCAGTACCTTGAACTTAACAGCCTGAAAGCATGTCCCACCTTCCCCCTTGACATCCCATCACACTTGAAACTGATTGGATTGTGTATAGCTGCTGTGATAATACATTTGCAAGTGTTAAAAAAGTATACTGGGCCATAGGGTGGCTGAAATGTTCTCTGCTACATCAGGGCAACACTGGGCAGTAGAGGGTTAATAGTGTCAGTGTTTACAGCACCTGTCTGTCAGACACTGGTCTTTTGAGGCAGTAAATAAAAAGAAGCCTGCTATTGACTCGACTTCATCTAATTTTAGTCTCCAGTGCTCTTCTTGCCCTTTCAGTGTAACATTACTGAGAGACAGACATGCTCTGTGACATGGGAAGTTACTTTTCTTCTTATTTTCCTGTAGTTGTCATTCTGAAGTGTTTTGGCTGCAGAAAGGTGGCATTTAACATTGAAGAGTGATACAGTTTCCTGTTACTGTTTGTTCTTTAAATTTGATAATGCTTTTTTTTGCAATAACACTCCCCTCAGTTGTTTCATACTACTTTCAACTACAGTAAAGGCTTCTTTTTTAAAAAACAAGTGTCCACACATTCATTAAACCCATACAGCCCTGGTTTTGTTACCTCTCTTAATCTGCCCGCACTGCTCCATGCTCACGATTGCATTTCACAGCATTGGGTCGTTCATTTGGAACATTGTTTGTATGTGCTTTCAGCTAAGTTTCAGAAGGACAGTACAGGGACACACTCCAAGTCTTTTGTCTGTCCAGTTCTCATTATATTTTCATGGAAATCCAAATATCACAATTTAAAGGTCCCAACTGGTAGATATCTTCTGAAACAAACCCACAAATAGAGTAATGGAGAGATGCAACCTATCCTGGGCTAGTTTGTACCCTGGGGCTGCAAAAAACTATGAGAACTATACTGCTGGATGGGTTTTGGTGACTTTTGTTTTGTTTGTGTGTTTCTTTTACCTCTGGCATTTTACTTCTTAGATTTGTATTATTTAAGGTTATTCACGGGCTGCTACAGAAGAATGATCCTTTCTCAGCTTTTGTTGTACAGTATATTAACAACAACAGTGACAGGGCTGTTATTCAGTATGTGTGACTAATGTTGTTAGGCACTGTTAGCTAATTAATGGGATCATAAATCTGAGAATCTCATTAAAAAACAACTCTATATGAACTTTGAAATATTCAGTTCATGTTGGACATCTATAGCCTAAAAAAAGAATAATCCAATCAATCAAAGGGAATCATTTTTAACTGCTTAATCATTGTGTTGCATATCCAAGTTGCCTTAATTGCACAACAGGACTGATAAGAGCTGACCTCACTTCCACAGTGAAGCCAGTGAATGAACTACGTGCTGCAGCTCAATGCTCCACTGGTATTCAAGCGAGGCTCAGATAACTGACACTGACAAGGCAAAGCTGGTGCAGATGAACCTCACCGACTCTTGGAGGCATCGGTGATCACAGCCATGACAGCCGTGGAGAGGGAGAAAGAAGACTGATAGCAGAACAGGAGATATGGAGGATCAGCCCAGTGCCTCTGAAACAGGTACGGCTACTTCTGTCCACGATTACTTTGTCTACAGTGATCCATGGCATAAAAGAAAAAGCCTACTGCTTTTAGCTCACAGGTCAGCAACACGGTGGGATGAGAGAGAGACTGTCTACCACATGAAGTGTTTGAACACTAGATGGCAGTTTGACACAGAGAAGTGTTTTCTACAGTCTCTGGAAAGTTGAAATTTATTTAGCAACACTCACTATAACTGCTTGGTGGTGCTGATTGAAGCTGTGTTTACCTCTCTCTGGATTCTTATCAGGTTTCGACTGTCCCAAACCACATTTGATTTCCAGATCTCTGTCTGGAATATTAAGCTTATTTCAGTGTGTGTGTGTGTGTGTGTGTGATATGGTTTTAGATTTTATATCAAAATAAATCAGTCAGAAATGCTACCCAACTGTCTTCACTGGTTTTATTAAAGCAAAATATTTGAAGTTTAATTTAGCAGGTTCACAGCTCTTACTTTTTTGTACTGCCGATGCCCAGTCCACATGTACATGCTGGACACCAGTCAGTTTACCTTAATCTACTGTTGGCATGTGAGAAAGAAGAAGCCATGTGTGGGCAGCACACAAGTAACCAGGAGATTCACTGAGATTCTAACAGTTACTGCTAGAAAAAGGGAAGAAGTATTGTTGCAGTTTCAAGCTTTAAATTTTACTTTTAAAATCATCTTCAGGAAACAGCTAATTAGATGCAGGTGTATCAGCTGATTGCTTCCCTCACTCGTGAACAAGACCCCAAGACTTGAACTCCTCCACTTGAGGCAGGAACTCTCCACCAACCTGAAGGGAACAAGCCACCCTTTTCCGACTGAGAACCATGGCCTCGGATTTGGAGGTGCTGATTCTCATCCCAGCCGCTTCACACTCGGCTGCAAACCGCCCCAGTGCACGCTGGAGGTCCTGGTTTGATGGGGCCAACAGGACAACGTCGTCTGCAAAAAGCAGAGACGAGATCCTGTGGTCCCCAAACCGGACTCCCTCCGGCCCCTGGCTGCGCCTAGAAATTCTGTCCATAAAAATAATGAACAGAACCGGTGACAAAGGGCAGCCCTGCCGGAGTCCAACATGCACTGGAAACAAGTCTGACTTACTACCGGCGATGCAAACCAAGCTCCTGCTTCGATCGTACAGGGACCGG